TCGACGCCGGCCGCAGCCGTGCCCTCGACGCCGCTCAAGACGCCCGAGATCGAGGCGCTGCTCGCGAATGGGGGCTCGAGCCCGCTCCTCGAGCTCGCCGACCTTATCGGCGCGCGGGGGGCAGCCGCAAGCGCCCCCGCCGGCGGCGCCCCCGAGATGTCGCCTCTCTTCCAGCTGGCAAACATGCTGGACCGCACGCCGCGGTTGCCGATGCCTCGACCGTCCATGGGGTCGGCGGACCGGCCGGTGGAGGCGAGCGGCATCGTGGGCGTGCTGCTCGGCTCGTCGCTCGCCGCCTCGCCCAACAGCGCCGCCAATACGCCCGACCAGCTGCGGCAGGACCTGAAGAGGGCGCTCGACCACTCGTTTAGCTCGCGCGACCCGGCCGCCTCCGAGATGATGCCGCCGCCCGCGGCGCGGCCGTCGGGCGGCGGCGCGCAGGAGAAGAAGGCGCCCAAGCGCAACCTCGAGGAGTCGCTCGCCACCGACGGAGTCGGCCTCTCGCCCCTCTCCAGCCAGCTGGTCAAGGGGCTGTTTGACAAGATGGGCAACGACGACTTTGACCTGGGCGAGCTCGTCGTGGGCGGCATGGACCAGGGGGGAGAGGAGAAGGCCGAGCGGCGAAAGTCGACGTCGGGCTCGAGCAAGCGCGGCAAGCGGCAGGAGAAGGAGAAAGGAAAGCCCGTAAAGTGCCGTTGCGACAAGTCGGGCTGCCTCAAGCGCTACTGCGTCTGCTTTGCCGTCGGCAACCTCTGCTCCGCCGAGTGCGTGTGCAAGGGCTGCGAGAACGACGACTCGACCGAGGAGCGGAGGCAGAAGCGCGCCGCCGCCATCGCCGCGATGGAGAAGAAGAAGGCGAACGCCTTCAAGCCGCGCATCGGCGGGGAGGAGGGGACCGACGCGGTGCACTTGATTGGCTGCAACTGCAAGAAGAGCGGCTGCATCAAGCGGCGCGCGACAGCCGACCCGAGCCCCCCCCCCCCCCCCACCCCCACACACACACACACACACACACACACACACACACACACACACACACACACACACACACACACACACACCTCACCCCACGCGCGCGCGCGCGCGCACTGGGCCGCCCCGGGAGCGCGCGCTCCCCTCAGCGGCCCCCCCCTCAGCCTCCGCGGCCCCCCTCAGCCGCGTCCCGTCCCCTCCGAGGGCCGTGGCCGAGCGGCCTCACCGCCTCATCCCCCCGCCTGAACCCAGGTACTGCGAGTGCTACCAGTCTGGCGTCAAGTGCTCCGACAACTGCAAGTGCGTCGACTGCAAAAACCCGTTCGGCGCCTTCGAGGGCTGCAAACGCTCCGAGCCCGCCCCGGAGGCGAAGGCCGCCTCCTCGCCCGCGCGCCTTCGGTCGCCTGGTGGCGGCCCTCGCTCGCCGCGGCAGCCAGCCTCGCCGGCCGACACGCTCATCGCGGCAGCGGCGGCGGCGGAGAAGGCAGCTGCGATGGAGGTCGACTACCCCCGCGGCTCGTCACACGGCGCGCCGGCCTCCGCCGCGCCAGTCGGCCCGTTTCCTGCCGGAATCGGCCCGTCTCCCGCGGCGCCGGGCATTCTGCGGATGATGACGTCCATCGACGGGAAGAAGATCTCCCCGTCGATGCAGGCGAGCCGCGAGGCCGCCGAGACGCTTGCGCGCGCGGCGGCCGAGGCGATCAACGCGCCGACGCCGAAAGGATTCCCCATGCTGACGCCCGCCGGCAAGCCGCAGCCCAAGGCAGTGTCGTCCTCCGACCCGGCCTCTTCGGTCGGGCCGGCGACGACCATGGCCGACATCCACCGGCCTGTGCAGGCGCGTGCCGTCCGTCTAGCCGTCAAACCCCTCCCCCCCCCTTCCTCCCTGCTACCACAGCAACACTACGCGA